CCTCCCTCCCTCCCTCCAACTCCCTCCTTCTTTATTCCCTCCCTCCCTCCAACTCCCTCCTTCTTTATTCTCTCCCTCCCTTCAACTCCTTCCTCCTTCCAACTCCTCCCTCCCTCTTTTCTTTTCTTCTCCCCTTCCATCCCCTCCCTCCCTCCCTCCCTCCCTCCAAAGAGTCAAGATACCATGTTGTCATATGTGGTTTTGGGAAACCGGGACAGTATCACCTACGAGAGGCTAGATCGACTGTCACTTTCATCCGAGTGGAAAAGCAGAAAAACTCCTCAAATCTGACTGGAGGCTGTACAGCCAGAATGCGCCACACAAGCGTCACGCCGTAGACATGTAGGGAGAGCCGTGTCTGCGGCTTCCCCCAAGCTGCCTGAACTGGCATTTATGATTTCTCACCGAATCCTGCGTTTCAGACGCTAATCTGCTGTGTCACTAACAAGTTGTATCATTTGAACCTTGCAGAGGAAGGCATCAATCATGAGTGCAAGCTGTGTAACCAGATGTTTGACTCTCCAGCAAAGCTCCTGTGTCACCTGATTGAGCACAGCTTCGAGGGGATGGGAGGTACATTCAAATGCCCTGTTTGTTTTACAGGTAAGACAGCCGGTCCTAGACAAGTGCTTCGTGTGCATGGCTTGATCCAGAAATGACACACAGGGGAACGTTAAAATACAGTCATTCTTTCCATGCAAGCTAGAAGGGTGTGTGTGTGTGTGGTGTGTGGTGTGGGAGAGAAATCGTGGCATGAAATTAGAATATCCTTTTTTCAAACTAGAGATACCTGGAAGACGAGATCTCCTTCCCACCCTCGTGCTTTCCATTTTAGGTCATTCTTTTTTCCCATCATGGACTCAGATCCTTCAACATGGTTTCTAAATAAGTGGAGTAATTTACAGCAGGGCTTTTCAACCAGTGGTACGGGTACCACCTGTGGTACATTGGCACCTGGCAGGTGGTACGCGACCATCCTAGAAAAGTGGTAGCGGGGGAGGGGAATGAGCTGAACCGGTGGCAGCACCGCACAAGCCTGAATGAGAGATAGGGCTGTAGGGCTCAGTGAAAGCGCCAGGATCAGTGCCGCTTTCCAGCTGATCGGCGCTTCTTCGGGGCTGTCAGGGCTCAATGGAAGCGCCAGGGTCAGCGCCAGGCTCCAGCTGGAACTTGGCACTGATCCTGGCGCTTCTGCTGAGCCCAGAAGAAGCGCCGATCAGCTGGAATGTTGCAGCATCTCCAGGGTCTTGTGATTTACATTTAGATGCTTGGCAACTGATTCATATTTATGACGGTCACAGTGTCCCAAGGTCATATGAAGTGACCAAAACCTGCTACAACCACCCATCCGACGGGGGGGAATAAAAACCAAACACCCCCCCACCCAACCCCCGCTGCCAATCCCCAACAGAAATGCTCACAACAATGAAAACCTTGGACAGGAGGAAGAGCGCCGCTGGGTGCTGTCTTGCTTGGCTGTGGCTTGGGGGGCACTTTTTTCAGTGCCATTGTAACTTCGAACAGTCACTAAGTGAACTGTTGTAAGTCGAGGACTACCTGTACTTTATCACTTTTTTCCCTTTTTTGGGGGGGGTCATCAAGTTTTTGACACCTTGCTAAGCAACTGGTGGTACTCGGATGTTTCCATATCCTAAAAGTGGTACAATGGGTGAAAAGGTTGAAAAGCCCTGTGTGGAACAGAGATTGCCCTCAGTGTGGAAAACTTTCTTAGCTTGAATAGAGCCAGTTCTTCTCCAAATATCTTGGATGAAAAGCCCCTAATTCCCAGCGAGTGAGGGATGATTGCAGTATGGGGTGCCCTATCCAAACTTGAGACCTTATTTTTTAATGTACATGTCAGCGATGTCCATTTGATATACTACCTCAGGTTGCTGCCCAAGCCATAACAATCTGCTTAACACACAATGCTAAACCATCAACAGGCTACATAGAGTAAATTAGGAATTGTTACTAAGACACAAATATCTCATATGATGTTTTAGCATTGGTAAACTTGCTTATTTGTGGGTTTTTTTTTCCTAAAATTAAAAAAGATGGCCAGGTGCCATGGAACTGATTTTTTTTTTTTTACCTCTCCTTAGCTGCACTGAACTTTCTGTAGATTTTAATTTTACACTCTCGGGAAGAGGACATATATTTGGGTTGAATCCTCATCATAAAAGTCCCACTGAAATCAATATGAAAAAATGTGCAACCTGTAATTAAAACTCCATTGACTGACTTCCGCCATTATGTAAAGAGACACAATTGTTGGTTGTCCGTTGTTTTTTTGTTTTTTTTTGGCTGAGCACCATTATGCCTAATAATTTATCCAGTGGTTTTAGCGGTGGCCTTTTGTTTAGCATGTTCTGAATGAAAACAGCCAGTTGTGTCATGATCAATCAAACAAAGTTACGCAAACGCAAGATCCAATGTTATCAATGTGAATCTAAGTTATTTTGGCTCTGAACCTTAGTGCTTTATTTTTTAAAAAAAAAACAAGTTAAAAGAAAACCTATTTTGATCAGTTCACTGTAAAAAACAGGTGTGCTGAAGTCATGTTTATACCTGATCAAAGGTATAGACACCGTTCAAAGACAAGTGTCCTTGGTTATGATGGCCGTTTCTATATCTCTGACCTTGCTCTTGTTTTCTTTTTGTTGTTTTCTTTTCCCTTAGTTTTTGTACAGGCAAATAAATTGCAGCAACATATCTTTGCTGTCCATGGACAAGAGGACAAAATTTATGATTGTTCACAGTGTCCGCAGAAGTTCTTTTTCCAGACTGAACTTCAGGTATGCCTTTTGTTTTGTTCTCCTGAAAAGGATTGTGTACAAATTCCTTCTGTGATTATCTGTGAGAAATGAATTAATTGCAAGCGGGTATCAAGACAATCTCCCTCCATGTTCCTCTTCCCGCTCTCTGTTCCTGTAATAACAGGAAATTCTCTTCCCCTCCTTGAGTGCGAACTCAGAACCTTCTGAAACCAGGCGCCATAAATAAATAAGGCCCGACAAGTTTAATCACTCGCTGTGAGAATTTCTTTTGGCAGTGTGCACTGCAATGCAATGGAAGCACAATGTAAATAATTTCTTCCCCTTCTTTAATAATTTAAGGAAGGATTAGCATACAAAAACTCAACCATCATGTTCCCGTTCTTTCCTTTCTTCCTTCCGCTTCTCCTTCCCCATCCCTCTTGGAATTCAGGTTTTCTTTCAGGTGAAGCTACCGACACCACAAATGGTTCTTTACCCGAGCGTCTAAAATGCTATATATTCATATTATAGACTGGATATGGTTCAAAGCTCAGGAAGTCGGTTGTGACAGGATGAAGCCAGCGGCATAAAGACCCTTCCTTAAGGCCGCAATTCTAATCCTTCCTGTTGGGGATAAATTTAGGCAAATAGGAAATGCTGGAGAAAAAGCTTGCAAGGATCCCGAAACCAAAGCTGTAAACCTGGATGTCTTCGTGTGAGATTCCAAAGTTGTCTCTAAAGTCCTTGGATGGAACCAGTGGTGGGATTCAGCCAGTTCGCATCAGTTTGGCAGAACCGGTAGCTAATTTTTTGTTGCCCAGGCCCAGAATGGACTTCCAGAAGCGGCATCCACACAGAAAACCGGTTGTTCACATATTTGAATCCCACCACTGGATGGAACCCATAAAAAGTAGAAGGGGAGAGAGAGCCATCGTATTAACTGAAGTGAAGGAATTTAAGTGAACTACAAGTGAAATCAGATCAGTTTTAGTTTGAGTTCCAGCTCTTTCTCAACCGAACTTGACTTGCTTTTATGATAATAGTATCTGGGCCAGAAAAAGAAATCATGCATTCTTAATGTAAACTCAAAAAGATGGGTGGATGATGGGGTTGAGGAATTCCTTCTAGATCAAGGATGTTCAACCTTGGATAATTTTAAGGCTTGTGGGCTTTGGCTCCCAGATCCTAGGAGTTGATATCCACAGGTCTTAAAATTGCCAAGGTTGGACAGTCCTGCTCTAGAGATTCACAACATCAAGGGTGATGAATGCAATCCTTCTCTGTCTCATTCAGTGGTATCTGGAGAAGGGTGAAGCTACACAGAGGCATGCTCAAGGTTTCTCTTCACTTTGCATTAGTAAACCAGGTTAACCTGATGTCTTCCTAGCTCCCAGATTAACACACAGATTAGAATGCAGGATTTGGATGTTTTATCTCACCAGATTTTGCAGTGCAACCCAAGCTTCAGACGGTTAGGTATTTAAAAAAGCGAACTTTAGGAGAAAAGACCTTTGAGAAGTGAGACATTTTGCTTTTTTAAAAATGGAAAACATCTGGCAGATGTTTGCACATTGCAGTTAATTTGAAAATGGAGGCAAGATATATGAAATTAACATCGAAATGGACTGACCTACCGAAGACTGGCAATATCCATATGTATAAACTATTCTTCACCAACCTGGCAGTCGCCATATATGGCACCTTCCATATATGTTGGACTTCACAGCTAACAGCTATGACTGATTTGGAATTTTGGCGGTTACACTTTCAACACACCTGGGAACCGCCAGGTTGGACAAGACAACCAAGGCTTGTTTCTGCCAATTCACAGATGAGGTGGGAAGCCTGTGTCTCTCCCACTTTGGTCTACAGATTCAGTTTGTGTGATGGATTGTTAGGGGGAAAAATGGTTTTAGCAGAAACTGTTTATGTATGATGCTGCTGATCAGATCCCCCATCCTGAGTACCACACTAAGAAGGATTCAGACACATGGAAAGAGATTAAAAATAAAATAAAATAAGGAAATGAGAAGAATGAAAGGATTGGAAATTGAGGGAAGTGATGGAAGATTTAACTCTTCAAATACATAGAAAAAGTAGGGATCTTCAGCCCTTTAGGTCCAAAACCAAAAAGATACCTCAGAGCAGGGGTCTTCAAACTTGGCCCTTTTATGACTTGTGGACTTCAACTCCTCAGCGTGCCTGGCTGAGGAATTCTGGGAGTTGAGGTCCACAAGTCATAAAAGGGCCAAGTTTGAAGGCCCCTGCCTCAGAGCAAGAATGAGTCTGCATGGCACACCTGTCTGCACCTGTTTAAAGAGGCTGTGTGTTTTCCCAGGCTTGCATAGTAGGTAGACAATTAAGTCAAGAACAAGGCAAGATGAGAGCTTCAGGTTTGTCACTCTTTGGCACCTCCTTAATTGTGCAGTATCCTGGGATTGCACAGCTACTGTGGGAGCCTTGTAAAGGATACAGCTTCTTGAAGGAGGCATCAATCGGAGGATCATGTGCATCCATGCCTGTTTTGAGGACAGATTTTGGATTTGGATTTGAGGTTCTCCACATCCCTATCGGGGAGGGAGAGAGAGGGAGAGGGAGAGGGAGAGGGAGAGGGAGGGAGGGAGAGAGAGAGAGAGAGAGAGAGAGAGAGAGAGAGAGAGAGAGAGAGAGAGAGAGAGATTATGCCTGTTTTCTATCTCAAGATATGGAACTATGGGTAGAAGTTACAGAAAGGCAGATCCCAAATGAAATGAGAAATGCCTTAACATTAACAACAGGATAACCAATGACTGAGAGACATAGTAAGCTTCCCTTTGCTGGACAGCCACCTTTTTCTGGGGACCTTCAAACAAATCTTCTGCACCTTGCAAGGTGGTAGATTCTGTGGTCTAAACAGCCCCTGATATCTCCAGGATCTCACATGAACACTGCCTACGTGGCCACCAGATAGATCTGCAGATATGATGTAACAAATATGGGTTTAAGAAAGGAGAATGTGTGTGGCTCAGACTTGAAATGAGAGGTCCTTGGTGCTCTCTGAGCTGGATGGTTTGGGTTGATCTAACCCATATCCCAAAAGTGCTTTTTCAGGAGGCAACTGGACTTTCTTGTTTTTTCTTTCAAGACGTTTAGCTTGGACAGGATGGTGGGGAATGGAAGGATTTATATTCCTTGCAGACTGCTGGTCATTTGCCTTCTTTTAGAGAGTCGTTGGGACCATTTGGAGCTTTACCTGTGTCCTCAGGGTGACCTGAGTGGTGCAAATGGGTGTGGAGCATTCTTGGCTGCAGGATGTTTTCTGCCCTGGGTCCCTTCACGGTTGAAGACGGGCGCAGGCTGTTGGGGATGAGTCTGCGTTGTCTCCATCTCAAACCGAAGGGCAAATGGTTCCTGTAGTCTTCAACGTTTTCTGGAAATCTGTACATCTTCCCACACCTTTCAAAAGGTGTTCATCCCAAAGTGCATAGCTAAATGTCTATGGTCATCCAGTTCATGGTTGCCCCAAAAGTGATTTTTTTCAAAAGGCAACTGGACTTCCTTCAAAGAAAAAAAACCCCCAATAAAGTCCAGTTGCCTCTTGAAAAAGCACCTTTGGGAGAACCACGACCTGGATGACTGAGGATCTCCATAGACATCTAACCCAAACGACCCGGTTACATTCTTTTTCCTTCTGCAGGTCTGCGAGTTCTGTGTTCCCGGAGGTTATATTTTGAGTGGGATTATTATTTTTGTTGTTGTTTTAATCTTGCCTCACCATTTCACAGCAGGGGTGTCAGTGACAGCTGCAGTTTGGGTTCCCCTGATGCTCTTAAATACCTGAGGCCAGCCTTTGGCATAAAAACTCCGGGCACTCCCTCTTGGATGCCTGCACCCTCCTGCTCCAGCAATCTGTGGCTGAACAGATGTGATTTTGGCTGTCTGCAAAAGGAGATATATTTTTTTTCTCCCAAAGAGTAGATCCTAGATTAGTTGCTACTAAAATAGCCTCCACAGGGCAAGAATTGACCTTCAGCAAGGTGCTTACTTGGAGGTGAATAAGTATTCCATTTTTTCCAAATGGCTCTATTCCTTCCGGTGTTGCCTCCTTCCTAAATTCCAACGTTTTGTGTATTATTATTTTTTTAAAAAAAGAGATCACCCCAAACGTTCTCTTTCTTGGCACTGCTCACTCTTTGTATGTTAATAGGCTTTAAAATTCTTCCCCGATATCACTCCAGCTTCCTATCGGCCTCTTGGCTTGAGAAGCTATAAAACGCGATGCGCTTAAACTTTGCCAACAATGGCTGGGTGTGTGCATATGTGTATTTTTTTTTCCTTCTTCTCCTCCTCCTCCAATTCCCAGGCTGCTGCCTCTTCTCTCCTGCTGTCAGGCGTAGAAAGGGAGGGTTGATCTTTTCACTTTGTTGATTTTTGCCTTCATTCTGCCTCTCAGGGATTCTGTTCATTCACCTTGTGCCGCCAATCTCATTTGCATCAGTTACAAAAGTTTTAACTGTACCTTGTTAATATTTGAATAATGGTTGGCAGATATTTTTTTTTCTTGGTTCAGCTTGGTTTCTGTGCCGTTTAACATCCTGGGTTCAAAAACAAAACAACAACAACAACAACAGTCAATCACTTTATTGCAGTCCTTAATCGGGCACAGATAAAAATCAAGACTGTGGTTCAGAAAGGATGGTTTATTTTTTTTTATCCTTGTTCCTTTTTTGTTTTGCCTTGCCGTAGGGGTCACAAATAATTTTTTTTATCAAACCCATGCTTTGAAGGCAAAAGTGCTTTATTACAAGACCAGTCATTCCGACTTGGAAAGGGACTTGCCTCCGAGCATAGGATTGTGTAAATAGATGAAAATAGCTATTGCTAGAGCAAGGGACGAACAGTGGAACCTGTGGTACTCTCTGAGCTTGGCGGTTTGCTTGCAGAAATGCCATTGCAGGTTGTCCTCAACTTACAATGGTTTGTTTAGTGACCATTCAAAATTATAATGAATTGTACAATTACAACGAGTTGTCCAATTTTCAATTTTCAATCGCACAACT